AACAAATGGTTTATGTTTGCTACATGGAAAATATTCTCCTACTGCTAAAGGCATTTTAGTTTTTTGAAATACTTTAATCGATTCTATAAACGATGGGTTGTTATACACTGCACATGAATGCCAGTCGTATAGATATAGAAATTTACTAGTATTTACCGAATCTTTGTAATAGCTAATCTTTTGCTTAACTTGTTTAAAGAAAGCAGATACATTTTTGATCTTATATAAGGCCTCTCTTCGTATATATATAGAATCTGTTGCGATTCTTACTACTTCATTAGGACCAAATCTTTGAAGCATTTCCAGTAAGTTTATATAGACATAAGCTAATATTGAGGCTCGCAAATGTGTATATTGAGGCTGATAGCCTTCATAGTATGTAAGTATATGTCCAAGCGGACATTTATTACTACCTGTATATGTTTCTTCTTTAATGCAATCCTGGATCAAGAAATCAAGTTCACCTTCGTCTATTACAACCCAATGAGTAAGACGTTTTTCTTCAACTTTATTTTCTTGTGTGAAATTTCCTATGATTGCGCAACTTATATCCTGATTTTTAGGCAACCATACTTTTGTCTGCTTGGTAAGAGAAATAATGGCTTCTCCTATAGTTATACTTTCTAGGATACCTGCTTCAAGAAGATATCGTAAAAGTATGATAGGAGTCCAGCCTTTTGCCTTCCCACATCCTTCTCCACTTCGACAAGCAAAATGCTTTCTGTACCAAATAGGAATTACTGGATGAATATTAAGAACAAATTTGAAAGATCTTATTTGTGCAAATCCTATAATATCATCTTGTGGCAATTCTCCATTCACTGCCACTCGAACAAGATAATGTGTTGGATGGCCATATCATTTGAACCATGGTGAACATTCTCCCTGACCACGCATGCTTGCTGGATAACATTCCTTCATATCTATACATACAACATCTTCGACTTGATAATTAGGTGTATTCCAGTATCCTCCATGCCCATGTTTGACACAAGATTGCTTTATATTTTCATGTACACTAGCTGGAGTAAGATGCCAATCATTGATCTCATTAGCAAGTTTGTCTCTAGCATGATTAGCACCAAATACCTGTTCTGCTAACTCAACTATTTTAAGCGATTCTAGAGATTCTTGCTTTCTTTATTCATTAATTATTCCTTCTCAAAATTGCCAGTCTACTGCATCTTCAAATAATTCTTTACATGCTTTTATAATATCTGTATGCTTCATCTATGTTCTAAATGTACGACCATCTTCTAGAACAAATTGAAATATTGACTGGATCTCTTCCAATATTTCTCTTTCTCTGAGTTCAAGCCCAATAAGCCATATTGCTTGTGGTCCTTGAAGAGCTTTATTAATAGCCTTCCATGCATTATCATTATAATACTCTACCATTCGATCTCTTGAAAAATGATGATTTCTAGGAAATGCGTGACCATTATGAACTACCATCTCAATCTCTTCAAACTTACCTGTTTGATATTTTCTACTATTAAAAATGGTCCCGTGAGTATTATCAAGCAATTTGATTGGCCTCTTAAGTATTTTTTCTAATTCTACTATATCCTCTACCCGAGCACCAGGCTGACGCATTCTTTTTTTCCATGTGTCAATTTTTTGCCTACGTATACTAGTCAGACCATATCCTTTTTTGCTTTTTCAAAATGCTCTATTATTTGCTGAGCTACACAATTAAGTGCACCATCTTTCATAGGCATTAATCGTTTACTATCTGGCTCCCGGATTCTATATAGTCCATAGACAACTGCATTATTTTTAAGTATTTCAAAATCAGAGATTTTAATTTAAACTGCTCTAACTAAAAATTTATTATCGATTCCAACCCAGAAGCATGGCTTTGTTTTCTTTGTAAGAACAACATTTTGACCCCCTGGAATGAATTTATTACTAACCTTTTTTGACTCACGTATGGGCTCATATTTGTCAACAATTTTGAAATTATCATAATCTGGTCAATAAACTTTATCCTTATAAGAAACTTATCATTATCTATTATATTTAAAATTTTCTTGGCACGTTTTTCGGTCATTCCGGCTTCATATATTTTTTCTTCCTCAATTGTTGCAAACCAGGTCGAAAATGTATATTCGGCACCATCTACTTTAAACATATCTTTTGCTGTCTGAATTCCTTTTTGCCATACTTTTCAGTGCTCTTTATTATTTGGAAATGAAACTGGCCAAGACATTTTTTTTTATCTAGATCCTTTGAATCTTCTTCTAGTTAAAAAACTTGGGGTTTCTTTTGCAATCTGCTAGGAGACTTTTCCATTAAATCAAACTATCCTGCATCTGTCTTTGAAACCTTTTTACTAATAATACTTGGGTTGTTATTTATCTCAGGATTCGCTAGCCAGTTGGCCAAATTCTCTATAGATAAGAGGCTAGGTACTGATAATTGAGATTTGGATACATTGGGACTAGATAGCTAAACTGGGTCAGGTATTTGGTTTGTTTATACTTAAACTTTCTATTAAAATGATTTGTTAAATCACGAGTCTTTTTAAAATCATTCTTTCCACATCGGAGGTATTGAAGTACTATTTTCGATAATAAGTGAAGCAATTCAGTTGTTTGTATTAATAGTACAAAATATTTTGTTCAAATAAAAATAATTAATTATCTTAGCTTTTGAGTAAGTAATTATATCTGTCTTCATTTAATCTTGCATAGCAACCAGCTAAACCCTAAATTAATTACTATATTTCTTTTTTCAAGCTTGTGAGAAAAAATGCCAGAAGGTTGCTTTGAACATTGGAAAGCTAAACCTCGTATTCCTTGTAAGATTTGCAGTAAGCCAACTAGTGCTAAACCTGGTCTTTGTAGAGATCATGCTAGTGGATACTATGTAACTCAATATATTAATAGGCTTTGGGATAGAGCAACTGTCTTTTCACAATGATCCACCAAGGTGCTCCAATAGTGATCCCAATGGTCTACCAAAGGTACTCTAATAGTAACCACTAATGATTCACCAAAGATAGTAATCTTCAATGGCTCGCTAAAGGTGCTCTGATAGTGACCCCAATGGCACGTCAAGGTGTTCTGCAGATATAATTTTTTTATACACCCAGTCTGCCCACTTTTTTTTTTTATCTGTCTCTTGCTAACAAAATAGTGTTTTTAAAATTAACAATGCTATGAATATGTAAGAAGATAAATTTATGTTTTTAAGATTAACAAAACTTTAAATAGGTAAGAAAATATATTATTTTCCTTAAGGTTAAGAAGACTTCAGGTAGGTAAGAATTCAAATTAATGATCTTAATGAGTAAGAGGAAGTTAGAAAACATTCTAGATATAAAAAAGAATATACTATGATATAAACCTTCTAACCCAATTTTAAAGTCGAGTAGAGTATTGAACAAATCTATATTCTTAAGCTTAACAAGACTTTAGATAGGCAAGAAAAGAAATTACTTTCCTTGGGGGTTAACAAGGCTTTGGGTAGACAAGAAAACAAATTAGTGAACTTAATAAATAGAAAAGGTTAGAGAACATTCTTGGTATATAAAAATTTACACTATAATATAAAGGATCTAACCTGATTTTAAAGCCAAGCAGGGTAGCAAAAACTATATCAAAAATTGATATAGTTCTTGGGATTGGGGAGCACCCAGATGCATTCCTGATATGTATAAAAATTTACACTCCTGGTCTGCTGGTACTTCCTGCTTGACCACTTTGCTATGTCACTACACCCTGTGTTTTTCTTTATTAGCTATTACTATTCTATATTATTTTATAGAAAAAAATTATACTATTTTTATAATTAAATAAGCTATTTTTGCTTTATATATAGAACATAGTAAATAAATAGTGAAAGAAAAATAGTACAATATTATACAAGAATTAGTATGTGAATAACAAGTATACTGAGTTAGTAAGGATTATATTTAGACAGATCACCTATATCAGAATCAATTCTTTATTTAAAAAATAAGAATAAAACTTTCTGGCTCGGTAAATTTTTCATATAAATATCTAGCCAATTAAATAAAGGATAACTGTTGTTCTTTGCATAATCTAGAATTAAGTATTATTTATATTCATTATATTATTTAACTTATTTAACTTTATTTTATTTAAAAACAAGTATTAATCTTAGAATCATACAATTCATCTTGTAAACAAGTACTTGAAAAACTAATAAAAATAGTAAGAAATTGGTGATAATAAATTATGATAAGGGTATTGTTAGATAAAATCTGTAACACTTTTATATATAGGTAATTATTTTTGAATTCAGATAAAAATATTATTATATCATATATAAAATTGGGTTGAGTTCAAAAATAATTATCCATATTGACAATATAAAATTATTTAGAACTTTTTTCGCTAATCATCAAAACACAAATTTCCAGAAAATCATAATTTACAAAAACTTCAAAAAACACACAAAAGACTTTAGGAAATCAGACTCGAAGCTCTAAGAAAAGAGAAAGAGAACTACAAGAAATACTCAGTCTCTTAGAGACTTGAGTTAGAAAAGACAGAAGTAACAAAGAAATAGAAGAAGTCGTGAAATATCATCGGTATTTTTTTGCACTTTGTGAAAAATTAGAGAATCGGCCAACAGGGAGAAATGTACCTAAAAATAGTAACATGTTACACAATTCATTAAAGTCGTAATTTATACGTTTTAAAGTACTTTTTCACAAGACTTGTGTAGCCCATTCTTTTTATGAAAGGTAGGCTGTAATTCTATGAAAATTTGAAGTTTTCACTTTGACACATAAGAATATTGAGTTAATTCACCTTAATCTACAACTTTTATATAGTATTAAATATGTCTGAAATTAAGCATTGCACAAACTGCTCAACCACCCAAACTGTTAGATTCCGTTCATTGAGTGAAGGCAAATTGAAAGAACTCGCAGCTAAAGGTCTAGGAAAAACAACATGGAAGGAAGGCACCGTTCTATG